TAAATTACCCCCACCTCTGTTGTTTATTTGTAAACAGGAGGGAGAACAAAGGAAGCGTCGCTCGGCTAACCTTTTGAAAATAAAATTTCGAAAATACAATTTCGATAAGCGTGTCTCGAGTCTTGACCCGAATGTCCCGGGACCCGAGACAATTAAATTTAGAAAAAGTCCCGGGACTTCGAGACACAAGACGTCCCGGGACGCAAACCCTATTAAGAACATTACACCTGATATTATATACACACTAATTTAGTTAAAGTTTTTTTATAAAATTTCTGAGATTAAAAATACATGTTTTAAAATGTTCTTTGCACTGGCAGCGGAATAAGATATTTCTAATTTGCTAGATCATGGCTTCATATACCGCTTCGGGCGTGAATAATTTGTAATTGTAAGAATTTAATGGGATGTTATTTTGAGAATACTTAAAAAGACACTACTGAGGCGTTGCACATTACTGAAAAAGTAAAGTTTATTGAATCCTATTTGTATTGCAAAATTTTGGATAATAACGTAAAAATATTGAATAGATTTTATGAAAATGTAATCTTATTAGAGATGATATTAAATTTAAAAGATATAAACTTTTTAATCATTTTTTTAAAAATTTTTAAAAATGTAATATAACATGAATGACCTTCAAAAACATAATTGTTATTAGTTGAACCTTATCTTTATTTTACCATAAAACAGTAGCGTAGCGTAGGGGGGCATCAGGGGCGGGCCGCCCCGGGCGGCACTTTTTAGGAGGCGGCTAAATTACGTTTTAGGGGGCGGAAAAATTTGACAATAAATAATAATAATATCTTGTAAGAATTTGAACCATTTTATTTCATATTTTCGTCCACCTACGATTCGGACCGATTGAAATGAGCACGGAATAGTGGGAATAGTGTTACCATCCGACTCGCCGTCTGGGGATATCATGCGCAACCTGTCGACCTTTTTATTTTCATTTATTTATTTATTTATTTTTTGCTTATACGATTCAATCGTACTCATACACACCTCCAATATCCAATAGGGCTAAGTCATCTAGATTACTTACGTTACTCCTACCCAAGTCTCCCTAGTCGATAACTGTAACTGATTTAGAACCAGCATGCACTGCAAATTATTCTTCATTGCAAAATGATATACGCATGCGTCAGGAACTTCTGTTCGAACAAACCTCACCTGCCGTCAGGGTCGGCGATTTTAAAAAGGTGGCAACACTAGCACGGAATTTTTCACTACTTATTCTGTGAAGAAACTGAATTTTAGTCTTTTAAATTGACATATCTAAATAAGGGGGCGGCGAAATTTTCCTCCGCCCCGGACGGCTGACATCCACGCTACGCCACTGCCATAAAAACAGTTGAACTGATTTAATTTGGTACATATTTTTAATAAAATAAAAAAAATTTAAATTATTACAAGACAAAATCTTGTGTATTATTTCTATTATATATTTTTAATATACTTTTCCTATTAATATTTGAAATCGAAGATCAAGTAATAGGTATTTAAAATTTTTATAATAATGTCTAATGAAAGTATTATATAAACTAACTCTAAATAATATCTAAAGCTAGAGAAACCACTCGAATTTTTTAATTTTTTTTTTTATATAGATGATAAGCGAATAAAGCCAATTACTTTTATCTGCGGATTCTGGAACGAACCGCAGTTTTATTATCTGGATATAGTAGCCTCCAGCAATATATTTTCTCTTATAATCATTCCAAGATACTGTGATGACAAATCATGGATTTTCAGTATAGTACCTTCTGGTAGATGATTGGATGCATTACTACGTCGCCCTTGGGCGGGATATCGTACAAAATTAGCTGATGCACTATGACCCAAGAGGCTATGGCATAAACAAATAAACGAAAACCGAGTCATCTTTATTGGATATTTCTAATATTTCTATTTGAGATGACCGACAGGTAAGCGAATAAAGGGAAAAAAAGTCATTATTTGCAAGTCTTGTCCTTCGCTGTTTACGTAACAAAGAACCAAATGCCAAGGGACAAGATACTACTTTGTCTCTTGTTATAACAGTCACTCATATAGTCAAGGGACAAATCTTTACTATTTTGTTTCTTCCTGATTTCATTTAAATATGTTTCAAGAAACTTTCTCTAGTTATTTACAAACAAATTAATATTTTACTTTAATTACATTTAAATTACCAGCCTATGAATCGACATAAAATAAATAAATATCAATACTACTTGTATTAATGAGTCGCTTGTGGATGATTTTAACTAATATATTTATTAATATCTATAATGAAAATTAATTTATCAAAATAATTGCTTCGATTGAATTTTAATATAATATATAGGTTTCTAATAGATTATCAGCTTTATCTTTATAGTGCATATGTTAATAATGTTTCATTATCTGCCTTATTTTTGAAAATTATTCTCAATCTGTTATATACTAAATATAAAAAAACATTTTAAATTAATTATTACATTCATTGATAATTTGTATAATTAAATATAATATAATACTTTAATCATGCATAGATTACTATATATAGTAAAATAAATTAAATATGAATTATTTATATATTAATTTTTCAATCATACTTTCATTTAATTAATTAATTTAACGATTAAACAAAAACAATCATATTATCTAAATGATATTAATTTATATATCTTTATATAATTTAATATTTTAATATTCAATACTTTCTATAGAAAAATAAATAAATGCAATTATAATATTTTTACAGTTTTTCAAAAGCATTATATTTCAATCAATTATTAATAAATTTAAATAAACTACGAGTTTATTCATTTAAATATTGAATAATATTATAATTATTTTAATATTTTTATTTATTAATATTGGAAAAAGAAGAACAAGTAATAAAAATAAAACTACTTAAAATTCAAATTAAGAGAAGGTACAGATTTTTATTCATTAATAAATAAAAATTTTAATTTACTTAAAATAAGCAACTTGTTTAAAATATTTTGAATATATATTTAACAAATTACAGATTCTACATATTAATTTAAACTATTTAAACTTACATAAAAGACGTAATAAGAAATAAGCATAAAATATCGCAATTTAATAAATTTTTCTTTCTTATAAATTAATTGAACATTAAATAAGATATAGATATAATATAAATATATTTTAAAACATATTTTAATTACAATATTATTTTTATGTATTTATTAAATAATTTTTTACAATATTTTTCCTTGAGAAATATGTTTATTATAACGAATATTTACTTAAGTGCTAAAATAATTAGAAAAAGTTTTAGTATATAATTTCATTTAACATTATTTTATTCGTTCTAATTAATTAGCAACTTTTTAACAAAAATATATAATTAAAAAGTTCATTTCTACAAAATAATGAGAAATGAGATTGTACATAAATATATTATAAGTAAGAATACATCAATTTTTTTTCCACTGATCTATAAATACTGTATTGCGTGTTAAAGAG